CTCCCCTTCCCCTTCACATCACGATTAATTTTCAATTATCTTTATATACAGAAGATCAATTTAGCGTATGTTAAGTAAAGATTTCCACATTTTGCTCCCACACAGAAACACAAAGTGTAAAATACTATTTGAGTACTAGTTATAGCATTGATTAAACACCTAAGAGTAATTGTGTATTAATTACAGAGTTCAACCAATAGTTTTAAGTAGAATATAAAATGCATCTTTTGTATTGTTGTGGCTTCCCCCCGACCTCCCTCCCTCCCGTGGCCCTCTCTTCACCCACTTCCTCTCCCATCCCGCCCTTCATCACGTTTCATTTTCAATTACCTTCATATACCGAATATCAATTTAGTATATGCTAAGCAGGGATTTCAACAGATTGCACTCGCACAACCGAACCAGGTATAGGGTATTGTTCGACTAGTAGTGTTGTTTTTGAGTTTCATAGATAAACATATTAAGGACAGAGATCCTGCGTGGGGAGCATGAACCCAGTGACTCCCGTTGTTGATTTAACAATTGGCACTCTTATTTATGACGTCAGCAATCACCCGAGACTCTTGCTATGAGCTGTCTAGGCTATGGAAGCCCCTTGAGTTCACCAACTCTGTATTTGTTTAGTCAAGGCCATATCACAGTGGAGGTTCCTTCCTCCCTTCAGAGAAAGGCGCCTCTCTCCTTGATGGCCTGATCCTTCTGCTGGGGTCTTGTTCACCAGGATCCTTCATTTAGATTGTTTTTTGCCACCGTGTCATGGCTTTCCATGCCTGCGAGACTCTCGTGGACCTTTTAGTCAGATCCGAATGTCCCAAGGGTTGATTCTGAGGCAGGAGTGCTGTTTTGGGCATTTGCCATTCTATGAGTCTGCTGTGTGACCTGCTTCCCCCGCAGGATCATTCTCAACCCTTTTGATTCTATCTTTCATTATTTGCTTACACTGGTCTTATTTGTGTAATCTCTTCGACACTTACCCTATCTTTTTGATCAGCTGTGTATTTATATTTGTCACTTAACCAAGTGTGCTGGCATTGGTACCTGCCTCCTTGGTAAGATTGAGTTGAAATCCCCTGGCACATTTCCAGTTCCACCATTGGAGGTAGGTCTGAGTGAGTATGTGCCGTCCTATATATCTCCTCCCTCTCTTATTCGAGTGGTAACACATTTCAAAAATTCACAGGAAACAATCTTTCTTATACCACTTGTTTGGCGATACCAGGTCTAAAAGCGCTTTTTTTTTTTTTTAACTTATTTGTTATACCTCACAAACTCACCCATACTAAAGGGTGTGTGCTTTCACTTTTCTTCCTACAACCCAGGACTCTATACCCTTGCTCATCCTCACTGTTCTTTCGAGAATAATTTCTTTGAAGATTTATTTATATATTTGAAAGACAGAGTTACGAAATGAGAGGGAGAGGGAGAGGGGAAGTGAACCATCTGCTGGTTCACTCCTCAAATGGCTTCAACGCCTGGTGCTAGGCCAGGCTGAAGCTAGGAGTCTGGAACTCCATCCAGGTCTCCCACATGAGTGCTGGGGCCCAAGGACCTAGGCCATCTTCTACTGCTTTCCCAGGCCATAGCAGAGAGCCGGATCAGAAGTGGAACAACCGGGACTTGAACTAGCGCCCATATGGGATGCCATCGTTGCAGGTGGCGGGTGCCACCACAAATGCCGGCCCCTCTAGAGGATATTTCTACTCTGTTCATCCTTCTGTGCACTCTGCTTCCTGTATCTCAGCCGTAGCCCATAGGCAGGTCTTCATCAACCCCACTGACCTTCTCTCTGCCTTAATTCTGACTTGGCCAGTTCCCAAACAGAAGCCAGAGTCAGGGGAAAAATAAAGCTAGGATTGGGACTGGTATTTATAAGAAGGTGAAATGTGTAAGGTTTGAATTCCTCCCCAAGACCTTGTCCCTGCTCTCTCTGTTCAGAGGCATTCAGAGGTCCATCTGCCTGGCTGACAGAAGATAAAGTCAGAAGGAATTCAGCAGGCTTGGGTTACACCATGCTCTGTAAGTTAATAAAACAATAGAGAATACAGCTATAACGGGCTGTTCTGACATGGCCACATTATTTGTGCAACATGGGTATCGTTAACACTTCATTCATTATTAAATTGGAAAACAATTTGGTTAGACTCCTTAAAGGGCCAGCTGCAGATGCACGCTCAGAGATGAAGTCATCACACTCTCCCAATGATACGTCTTTAGGAATATAATGTATCACTGATTAAAGGACTTTTCAGGGAAAGTAAAAGCTATGCAAATTCCAAGAGTTTCCTTCAGCTTCCAGTTAAAATTGCTACAGGAATTTCTCGAGGCTCTCCTTGAAGTGTTAAGTCTTCCTAATTTAATGGGAAGAGGAGAGGAAAAATTCAAAGCAAGTTGAACCAGAATTACAGTAATGAGATTACCAACTCTGTAATTCTAACACCCAACAGGTGTACAGATCAGATATCTGTGACAGCTCCTGCAGCTCTGCCGAATCAGCCACAGTTGAAGAGAGGCTGGGGGAGATATGCCCACGTGAAGGTGAACTAAAACCAGGTTTTCCAAAGAATCACCAGCCCCAGATGACCAAAGAAAAAGACAGCTCAACTTCACACTGCAGAATTTATACTTTCCCCTTCAGATGTACAAACAGCAAGAATATAAAATTGGAGCCAACGGCAGGGTGTGAATTTCCCATTCATGCGCCAAACATGCCTCTGAGAAGTCTCTATACAGGTTGAATCTCCTTTATTCAAAATGCCTGGGACCGGCCGGCGCCGCAGCTCAGTAGGCTAATCCTCTGCCTTGTGGCGTCGACACACTGGATTCTAGTCCTGGTTGGGGCGCCCCTCTTCCAGGCCAGCTCTCTGTTGTGGCCAGGGAGCACAGTGGAGGATGGCCCCAAGTCCTTGGGCCCTGCACCCCATGGGAGACCAGGAAAAGCACCTGGCTCCTGCCATTGGATCAGCGCGGTGCGCCGGTCGCAGCGGCCATTGGAGGGTGAACCAACCCCAAAAGGAAGACCTTTCTCTCTGTCTCTCTCTCTCACTGTCCACTCTGCCTGTCAAAAAAAAAAAAAAAAAAAAAAAAAGCCTGGGACCAAAAGTGTTTTAGATTTAGATTTTGGATTTTTTTTCAGATTTTTGGAATATTTACATATACTTAATTTTGGGAATGAGACCCAAGTGTGAACACAAAACTAATTTGTGTTTCATATATACCTTATATATATATATACACAAACATACCTTATAGTCTGAATGTGATTTTGTATAATATTTTTAGTTTGCCTCCATTTGATTGCAACCTGTCCCATGAAGCCAGGTATGGAATTTTCCTCACATTTACACACAACATGTATCAGACTTTGGAGTATTTGGGATTTTCAGATGAGAAAGACTTCATTCGAACATTTGGGTGGTGGGTAGAGCTGAGTGGGATCAGTAGGTGTTGTACCACAAAATTCTTTATTTTATACCTCTACTGCTGTGGCCTACAATTTTCGACAGGCCAAATTTCAACTGCTAGGGCAACCAGCCAGGTGCACACTGGCTCTCAGCCACTGTCTGCCAACATCAAACAGCACATGTTTTTTGGAACACAGCCCTGGAACATCTTTAGATTTGCCAGAAGAAAGGCCCATTCTCAAAAATACAAGGAATGCCACACAAAATCTAACCTAAACTCCACCTGACTGTCAGGAGCATGGGGCACCCATGTTTGAGGCACAGAACGCTTGTTTCCTAGGAAAAACCCACCCCAAGAACACAAGCACAACACAAACCAGGGCCCTGCGCCCCTTCCTCATGATCACAGCACAATTCCTACTCCTTTTCCACAAGGCTCTCCCATTTGTTTGAGTATAGCATCAGCTCCTACCTTTGCATAGCTTACTTTGGAATTATACAGCAAACAAAGGCAAGACCTTATAATAGGCCTTCTGCCTATTACAGTCCAGAAGCAGAGGCATTTCCTCCAGATTTTTCTTTTCTTCAAACAAAAAGGAGGAATAAGAAAGGCCACCTGTCTGTGTACAATCTACAACGAGACACATGCCTGTGCTCAGACTGTACAGATACAGCTGGTCTTTCTATAGCTACCCACATGCACATGCTCATTTGGCAATTTGTCCAGCAAGCACTCAAGGGAGCACAGGTGAGTTCTGGAAACATGTGTGGAGAAATATTCAGAGCATACAGGTTTCCAAAAAGCAAAGCTTTGGCATTTTAAAATCTGATCACATATTTAAAATACATACAAATATAAAGGAAATAATATGTCAAAGACAATACATACATATACAAACACCAGTTTTAACATGCTTCTCATAATTACTTCCAATTTTTTAAAAAAATATTTCACAGAGCTGGTGTAGTCCCTTTTATACCTTCATCGAAGACTCCTCTCACTGAATCTGCCTACCTGGAGGTAACCACTATCCAAAACTGGCATGATGCCTTACCCTTCGTGTTTTTACACTTTTATTACAGTCACAGTCATGTATCCATAAGCTAAACGTAGTATTGTTTTCCAGCACAATATCAACATATGCAAACAGACATACTTACTGACTATATATACATGTAACAGATATAAACTACATGCCCCCAATAGCCTATGCATAAACACAAACCATATAGACTACATCTAAATATACCCAGACATACTTACTATGTGTGTGTGTGTGTGTATATATATATATATATGACATGTACGGTATGTATTGTGCAAAAGGTATCCAAATGTACTGCATTCATCTACAATGTCAGGCCTGATTAGACAGTCAGGAACCAGACTTTCAAAGTACAAGAGTTACCAGAGATAGCATTTGTCCACAACAATTTCTTGCATTGTCTTTCATGTACAGATAAAACCACTCATCAAGTAAACCCCCATGAGCATAATAAGGGGATTCTGTCTGAGTTCACATAGTAGTCAATCTACCCGACTGGTTTACCAGACACAGTTTCATCTGCAGTTGACCTCTGAGTGCAGCAGTTACCTACCTGACAGAATCAGGAGTTCAATGATCTCTGCATCTCCCAGAAACGCGGCCACATGAAGAGGGGTTCGTTTCTCAGAATCCTGAAACAATGCCAAAGACACACAACAGGTCAATGGTGGCTGGAGGCACCTTCTGCATACACAGTAAGTGGCATTCACCCTGAGGTCAGTGCCTGTGGAAGGGCATGAAAGCCAAACACTTGCTCACGTGAGTTCTGACCACACAGCTCTCGGCCCCACGTGTGAAGTTCTATTCTCTGTGTCAGTGCCTGACTACCTGGGCAGGTCAAGGATGGATCATCACACACTGAATGATGATTTTCAAACCTTAATTATAGCTAAAAAAAAAAAATAAACAACCCAAACCTTTCTAGACAACACAGTCCAAAGCTTTCCATGATGTACTGTCTTTCTAAATGCACCTAGTGGAACTGTTCATGAGGACATTAGATGTAAGCACAGTCATTTTCTTCTTTCTGTCCCATTAACTGTTGCCAAAATGATTACTGAATTTTTACCCTTCCTGGACCCAAATTCTGGGCACAGGGCGTGATCACAACAGACTCGGTCCCTACCCTCAGGAAACTGACGTTCAAGTGGCAAGGCTGACAACGGTCAAGCAAATAAATGTCACAGGAAATCATTTCAGTGACATAATTGAAGCAGACTAATGGGATTGAGTGACTGGGGGTTTGGGAATAAGAGGGGTTGGGTATGGAATTTCTGAGGGTGTTGACATTTGATCTGAGAGATGAGGCAGTTATTACTATCTCTGTTTAAAGAGGAGAAAATTGTGACTCAAAAAACAGACTAAGGGCCGGCACCGCAGCTCACTAGGCTAATCCTCCGCCTTGTGGCACTGGCACACCGGGTTCTAGTCCCGGTAGGGGCGCCGGATTCTGTCCCAGTTGCCCCTCTTCCAGGCCAGCTCTCTGCTGTGGCCAGGGAGTGCAGTGGAGGATGGCCCAGGTGCTTGGGCCCTGCACCCCATGGGAGACCAGGATAAGTACCTGGTTCCTGGCTTTGGATCAGCGTGATGCGCCAGCCACAGCGCACCAGCCGCGGCGGCCATTGGAGGGTAAACCAACGGCAAAGGAAGACCTTTCTCTCTGTCTCTCTCTCTCACTGTCCACTCTGCCTGTCAAATAAATAAATAAATAAAAAAGAAAAAAAAACAGACTAAGAATTCCCTTGATAGGACCAATGTTGTGGCACAATGGGTTAAGTTGCCACCTGCAGTGCCTGCATCCCGTATGAATACCCCTGCTAATATGTCTGTGAAGTGCCCACCCACATGAGAGACCCAGATGGAGTGCCACACACCTGCCACAGCCCTGGCCATTGTGGCCATCTGGGAGAGAGCCAGTGAGTAGAAAATCTCCTTTCTCTCTCTCTCTCTCTCTAACTCTGCCTTTCAAATAAATAATTTAGTTAAAAAAAAAAAAAAAAAAAAAAAAGAAGAATTTCCTCAAGATGTCGTAGTACACAGAAAAATCCAGGATCACACCTTTACCAGTCTATGTCCTTGCCAAGGCATTTACCATGCTTTGCTAATATGCAGCAGCATAATATCAGACAAAAGAGAAATACTGCTTTTCCATCTTTAAATTGGAGATAACAATATCTGCCTTAAAGGACTGATCTGTGGAATCAAGATAGCGTCAGTAAATAAAGCCTGAGTCAGACAGGAGGCAAGTACACAGCAGGTGACCCACAGGTAGCCATTATTATCAGCAGCATAGATAGGAGTGTGCTGTCCTCCAAGACTACAAACTCTTGAGGGACAGGACAGGTCTTATTCCCCTTCATCCTCATAGCAGCAACACACCAGGCACTCGGCATACGAATTGAACTAGTTCCCACGTGTGGTCTCTTGACAAACCCATTGACCACTCTGTAACAATGGTAACCAAAGCCTGTATGTTATGTCTCAAAACTAGCAAGCATTTTAGTCCTGAAATGTTTGGATTCAGTGTTGATTTTAATCATCATTCCTGTTATCACTTGATTATACAATCACCCTAACCACCCTTGATTAGCCCACGGATATTACTCTATTTTCTGACAGTTTAGGCCCTTTGTTTCAGATTCTTGCTTTTAGTCTTTTATGACTCTATTATCTAAAACAGATGGCAAGCAGGGAATATGACAAGATCTGATCTTCAAACCAGTCTATTTGTTAGAGGGCCTGGTAAATCGAATTTAAGAAGAAATAGGTTAACATTAACTGAATAAAAAGAAGAGCTTGAATTAGTTGGAAATTTATGCTGTCTGTGTATGTTGTAGGCAATTATTATGGATAAGTGTATACAAAAAATAATGGAAAAATCAGTAAGAGATATGACCGGGGTCAACCCCATTACAGCTGCATCACTCTATCTTTGAAGACAAAGACTTATTTGAAAACATGTTTACTTACTGGAGAATCAGGTGAATTAGTTTGTGCAATGAACCATAAATAGGGCCAGACTTTCAGAAATACTTTTTATTTCTTATATGGTTAGCCTTACAAACATTTTCTACATTAGCCTCATATTCCCTTTGACTCCTCACTATATCTATCTACTTTAAAATGTCTGGAGTTTTGGAATAAAGGTTATATAATTATATGTTCTTCTGTGAACTGGATCAGATTCAGGGTTTGGTTTAACAAATTAAACCTTGCTTAAGTGACTTAAACAATGATTTTTTTCAACCCAAATTATGATTTCATTTGACCTTAGGCAAAGTCAATGCTCTGTTTGAGAACTTGACCTCAAATAAAAGCCTCCAACATCTTTCTCTGCCTTCCAGATCTGGCTGGGCTGTTATTATGTGACTGACTTTGCTGATTCTGTGGCCCCTTTTATGATACAGCATGCTTAAGCCAAAGTTCCTACGATATAAAAACATGTTCTGTAAGATCATATTATAAAAATTATTGATTATGAATCCCAGTGTCCCTCTTAATACACACTGAAATGTTTCCTGTACCTTCTAGGACAATTATACCCACCGACAGTCTCCTCTGGGCTGGCATAAGCCACCACCAGCAACCACCAGCCACCACCAGCCACCACCAGCAATGCTGGCATCCCATAGGGGCACCAGTTCGAGTCCCGGCTGTTCAATTTCCAATCCAGCTCCCTGCTAGTGCACCTGGGAAAGCACCAGAATATGGCCAAAGTCCTTGGGCCTCTATCCACACTGGAGACCCAAATGAATTTCCTGGGTCCTGGCTTTGGCCTGGCCATTGCAGACATTTGGGGGAGTGAACCAGCAGATGGAAAGACCTCTCTATCTCTTCCCCTCTCTAACTCTTTCAAATCAATAAAATATTAAAAAAAAAAAAATAGTCTCTTTCAAGGGCACAGATAGGGACCTGCAGAGAAAACCTACAATCCAGCAGCACTCCTTCAGTTCTCTGAAGCAGCAGAACGACAGAAACTATCACATGTACTATTTTTTTTTTTTTTGACAGAGTGGACAGTGAGAGAGAGAGACAGAGAGAAAGGTCTTCCTTTGCCGTTGGTTCACCCTCCAATGGCCGCCGCGGCCGGCGTGCTGCGGCCGGCGCACCGCGCTGATCCGATGGCAGGAGCCAGGAGCCAGGTGCTTTTCCTGGTCTCCCATGGGGTGCAGGGCCCAAGCACCTGGGCCATCCTCCACTGTACTCCCTGGCCACAGCAGAGGGCTGGCCTGGAAGAGGGGCAACCGGGACAGAATCCGGCACCCCGACTGGGACTAGAACCCGGTGTGCCAGCGCCGCTAGGCGGAGGATTAGCCTAGTGAGCCGTGGCGCCGGCCCTATCACATGTACTATTAAGACCAAAGCAACAGTTCACTCCCACGACTGGCTAAGGACTGCTAACACTGGCCCTCCAGCAGGAAACCTCAGTGATATACATGGACCCCGAGTGGAGGAGTGAGGGACAAAGCCACAACAGTCATCAAGCTCAATAAGGTGAAATCAGAGGTCACAGTCCGTCCTCTGCCTAAGTATAAGGCTACTCTATTTGCCACAAGCTGAACTCATGGAGCAGAAAGCTCTGGAGAAAAGAGAACACTAGTAATAACACTAATAACAATGAGCTCTAGATCAATGACACCCCATAAGGTGTCTATAAGAAGGAATGAGCCTATCTGGCAATTATTGGGGGTTTCTGTTTTTGTTTTTCAAAGTACCTTCTCCTCTCTTCTACTACTCAATTTGAAATATCTCTATCAGGGAAGATACACTTTTTACAACTGTGCCTTTCTTTAGTCTTATTATCCGTATTTAAAAGATAAGGGTTATCTGCATTGTATAGATGGTATAACTTTCCCAACACAGCAAATTCATGTCAGAGAATTAGGTGTACTGGCTCCCAGCCTGAAAGTGTCTTCATAAAAATGAAAGCAAAACATCTTAGAAGTTGCCTTTATAATCTAAACACCTTTTCACTTTAATTGCTAAGAAATTCTAGAGAAACAAACATGACTTAAACATCCCTATATAAGCACGCACAAGAAATTACACAGCAAGGGACCAGGAATGGAGAGTAAATTGAGGACCAAAGACAGCAACACACGCGCTTATGCTGCAGAGAGAAGCTGAGTCACCAAGGTTTTCGGATTAACACTTGTTAGGGATGAGAGGTGAGGGACAGAACTGGTACTGAGGAAAGACCTTCTTAGTGCTCCCGAAGAGAGACTCTTGGAGCAACATGTGGGCTTGAAAAACAGCCAAATACATAGGCAGAAGGCAACTTTATGCCTTGTTCTGGGCTCCTGGTAGGGGAATAAAGGCGTCCGCATTGAGCATCTCCAGAGTCTGCCCTTTGTGGTTCAGGGTTTTGAATTCACAATACCCACACAGTCCAGGAACTTTCAAGTTAGTAACAGGCATAAAAGTCGGTTCTAAGCAGTACACAGAAGAAGAAATAAAACCCACACAGAGAGATGTGCCCTCAATTCAGGCAACCTGGGACACCTACAAATTAAATCTCCACAGAGATGAACTCAACCTAAGCCACAAGACCCATGTGGGAACAATTCACCCCTAGCAACAGTCAGCAGACATAACAGTCAGCAAGGACTTGAGATAACAGCAGGATCAGATA